AGCAGGGGCGTTGCAGAGTCCAAAAGGCATCACAAGATACTCATAATGCCCGAATCGGCTACGGAAATCGGTCTTCCACTCATCTCCCTCTCGGATCCGTAACAGGTTATAGGCCCCCCTGAGATCCAATTTCGAAAAGATCTTGGCAGCTCAGAAGCATTGGAAGAGCTCAGGAACCAGGGGTAGTGGGTATCCATTCTTGATAGTTATTTTTTCCCGATAATCTATGCATGGCCGAAGGGAGTGGTCCCTGTTTTGGACAAAAAAGAGGCCTGCTCCGGCTGGTGAGGTGGATGGTCGAATAAACCCCTTGGTGAGATTCTCTTCAATGTATTTTCTCAAGGTCTCGAGTTCAGGTTCAGACAAGGGATAGATCCGTCCGAACGGGATGGCAGCTCCAGGTAATAACTCGATTGGACAGTCTGTTGGAATCGGTAACACATTCTACACAGTCATAAGGCCGATGAGGTGGTAAAGCATCGGCTCCCTTCTTATCAAACACATCCAGAAAGGTGTGATATGCTGGTGGGACAGATCTGGCAAGTTCTGCATTTTCCGGCTGTACTACAAGACAAGGGGATGAACCGAAACAGTGTTGGAGGCAATAGTGAGAAGAGAAGGTTATGGTTCCTGCGTTCCAATTGATAGAAGGCTCATGTGTTTGTAGCCAGGGTAATCCAAGGATTACCGGGAACATCGGGCATGATATAACATCCATTCGTAGAAGTTCCGTATGGGAGTGTGATGTGTATGTCAACAGAGGGTAGGTCTCCTGTGTTATAGGACCCGAACTTGGTGGGGATCCATCAGCCAGTTGTATGGTCAAAGGCTGGACATTGGTATTTAAAGGAATTTGGTGCAAGCGGGCCAAATGATATTCCATGAAACAGCGACAGGCTCCTGAAACAGCGACAGGCTCCTGAATCAATTATTGCCGCGACTTGGATGGTCTTTCCCGGCATCTGTAGAAATAGATCAAGGGTAAGGTGGGAAAGTCTATTCTTATTGATAGGTAAATAAACAGTAGAAGCAGACTTACAGGGACGAATCTGACATCCATTCAGAAAGTGCCCCGATCCTCCACAGTACAGGCATAATCCGTTTTGCCGACGGTGTTGACATTCTTCTTGGGATAATGGGGTCTTTAACATACCCAATTGCATGGGTTCTGTATCAGACATGGATGATGCAGCAGGAGGTTCAGCGGAACGAAAGTGAGGAGCCATCGGAGCCTTGGGGTCATCGAAGTTGGTCGGACAGTCCCAGTCCGCTCCTTCCTCCTTTCCGAGTCTACGATCAAGCTGGATCGATAGTTGGATCAACTCTTCCAGGTTTTCAGGTACAGAAACACGGGCCAATTCGTCCTTGAGGGTCTCTGACAATCCTATGCGAAACTGATGTTTGAGAGCGGCCTCATTCCAGGCTGTGTCAGCTCCCCATTTACGGAATTCCGCCACATAATCCTCAACAGGACGGCGTCCTTGGAGAAGGGAGCGGAGAGCGGACTCTGCTGTGGAGGTACATTGAGGATCATCATAGAGTAATGCCATGGCATCAAACATGGTGCTGAGTGAGTTCAATAGAGGGCTTTCCCCTTCCAGAAGCTGATGAGCCCACGACTGAGGTTCACCCGTAAGTAGGGAGATGACAAATCCTACTTTAACAGTGTCTGAAGAGAAGGTCTTTGGTTACAATGCAAAAAATAACCGGCAAGCATTCCTGAAAGCCCGGAATTTGGGGCGATCTCCTGAGAATCTTTCTGGGATTCGTACACGAGGTTCAGGCACATGCGATCCTTGGGCTTGGTCTGGGGCCGGAATCGGCTCGACTGCTGGGGGTGGTGCAGGGACCAACACAGCGGAATTTGCCATAGCAGTGGCTATGGTAGATTGGTAAGTGAGCTTCCCAGATTACATTCACCTCCTCCTTATCCAGAGATTAAGCATCCTGGAGCTTTTTCAAACACTACATCAATTACCTTCTCTACCCTTCAAGAACCAATCTAAAGTAAACCCCCACCTCAGCTGCTTATTTATTTCAGTAGGAGAGCTTGCTCCTTGTTTTCATCCTCAATAAGCCAAAGTCCTCTGAGCAAATAAGCCCACATAGACTTGAATAGTGCCGTGTTCCAAGACTAGAGATGCTCACTGAGCAGGCACGACCAATAGTTGAAAAGCATAAGCACAAGGACCAGGCTATGGCTGTCTGAGAGTAGTAAGCAGCTTGGGTTGGCGTTTTGGTCTAGATTGGTCATTGTCTCGCCTTCAGAAAGGGATCCTCCGAAATGTTTGCTATATGGCCTATGCTATGAAAAAAAGTAATCACGTTTGCATCTTTAAAAGGAGTGCTGGTGACCATTGCTCTTCTTCTATTGAGACACTGCACAGCAGCATCTGTTGCTGTCACTACAAGCATTACTTCATCACTTTGTTCGCAATGCTGTATGGAGTGCAGCTTGGAACTGTATCACTTTAGTCTAGATTAGTTCAGAAGGGCTAGGGGAAGAGGAATAGTATATTTTCTTTAGAATAAAGGTACAGCTGTCCTTTAAATGCCACTCACCAGAGGGTAAGGGGGCCATATATGGACAACAAGTAGGACATACCTGCCCATCATCGAACAAGTGACGCAAGTGCAGAGACCTGCCATGCTCTTCAGTGGATGGTGTTAGTGGCTACTTAATACCTACTTGAGATGGCTTTCGTGAAAATGCACAAGTAAAATGGAATGTCATAAAAGCTTCCAGCTGGCTGTCAGCTATTTTTTTTCCTGTAGACTGAGCCGCATATGCATAGCTCAGTGCACAGGTTCAGCGTGTCAAGTTGAAGTTACGTCATTGGGGATGGCCAATCAAGCAGCCAAAAATTCAGAAACCGAAAGAAGACTTGGGACAAATTATGGCTAAAGGCTACAGGTGGCTCTTTTTTCAACCTAAGTTACTTCTGCTTTTAGAGCACCCTTGTTTGAGGCAATTATTACACTCTTGGAGATGAAAAGCAGTCTAGTAAATGCAAATGATGTTTGAAATTGCTTGTAATTATCATTTGTGTGTCAATCCCGTGCACCACTAAAACCTCAAAATGTGAGATGTTAAAAGATGTAATGCTCCTCTTGCCTTTTCTATCATATAAAAGGCACAATGCAAGGCTTTCCCCGTGGAAGTTTAGGTTATCCTCACTTCCCACAAAGCCATGATCAACCTGGACTGTCAGATTATTTGCACAATCTACATCAGTTGCAGGCAACCTCAGCACTATGTGCTGGTCCGAACCTGAGCTACTTAAAAAAACCTTTAAAGGAGAACTATGAGGTGAGTGCTTTTCACTCACCTCATAGTTCTAGCCGACCTGTGACAATGAGACTGTCACAGGTCGGCTCAGTAGATCGGGAGGTGAGCGAACACATACCGGTGTTCACTCACTTCTCGATCCTGTCATCGCTCTCTGCCGTGACAGGGGAGGGGATGGATTCCCCCCTCCCAGCTCCGATCCACCAGCGCTGACTGGCGGAACGGACGGGGGAGGGGGCGGGTACAGCTGGCTCTGCCTCTAGATAGGCAGAGCCAGCTGTCACTCACGCAGCTGGGCGGATCTCGACATCGATGTCGGGATCCGCTCCGGCGTCTCAGTATACCGCGAGCTGTAGCTCGCAGGATACTGAGCTTAGGGTGACGGGAGGACGCTAGTTTGTGTCCTCCCGTTACCCTAAGGAGAACTATGGGGAAAAGCCCTGACCCCATAGTTCTCCTTTAAAAAGCTCCTCCTGAACACAGAAGGATGCGCATTCAATACCGCCTAATCAGCTGTGGATGGGCCATTAAGGTCAATAATGTCAACACAAGCATCCCGCCCCTTTATTTACGGCCAGCTGTGGAGAGAGGAATGCCCGGTCAGGTGTAGCTAATTGGGTGGGAGGCTCATGTAGCTTCCGTGTTCGGATTACCTGGTGTTCGGTCTGAACGTGATCTCATCTCTACTCAGCACTCCAGTTTTTGTGAAATTACAAATCCCATTTATGATTCTGCCTCTTGAAGTCTTGGCTGTGACTGTCAAAGTCATGCAATGCCTCACTAAACTTGAAGTTCCGAGGTTGCCTACTCCTGATCTAGGTTAAAGAGAATCTGCTGGGGATGACTGACACTGACATTTGTAATGGTCATGGAAATTAGATGGACCAAGGAATTCCTTTGGGTGTATTACATCACCACAATGCCCCAACGATGGAAGAAGCTGTCATGCGAGTCACCTTACTGGCAGCAGGCAAATGTGACATCAAAGGATTGGCAAATAGGCTTTGTTCCATCCAAAGGGTTGTTTTATATTTCCTAAAAGTGTTTAGTGTAGACACATGATTTCCACACCCCCTTCACACTAGTACAGAGACATCGCAGTATACATATACAGCAAAACTACTGTAACCCTATCATACAGTGACATACAGGAATACAATCTCTACCAATATCTTCAACTAAAGCTGCCCTTACTTATGTTATATTGCTATGTGCTAATGTGTCAAATTCTAACGTTTAATTTCAGGATGTAATGTTATAGTAATATTCCAATCACATGTGCATAATAATAATTTTGATTTTTTTTTTCTTTTTTCCTGTCTGGGATCCACATACAGAATTACAAATTTATTCATTCCAGAAACATTTTGCATCCCACTAATTTGATTTTTCTGCTTACTGTGGACAAAACAATTTTCCATATGTAGCCATTAACTCTTAGAGAATCGAACGTTTTAAGAATGTAAATTAAAGTTTTCGAACGAAATTCTACAAATGTATGGTCAGCTTTAAAATTGAGTCCTTCTGTGTCCCAACAATTTTACGATTGTGCATTATTGATATAAACAACCCTCCAAAGGGAGACAATCTAATGAAAAAAACACTTCCTGTTGGAAGAAACGGCAATCGGAGCACATTGACAGTTTGTATACGGGATGGATTGGAGGAAGGCGTGTGGAATGAAGGGAGATTTTATCTACTGTGTTCGTACCTTGTACAATCCCCGACCTACACCAGATCTCCTCGGGTCTCTGTTTCCCACCTGTCGGACGATGAGCTATGCAAAGGAAATGAAATGGATACCCAAGCTCTTTCCAATTGTGATTGTGAATAGATTTTGTCCGGCTCAGCCAATCAGCGTTCGCCGCCTGGGAGACGTTGACCAATAAGAGCGCGTGGAAGTCGGAGTCTAAGCATTGTGAAGGCGGGGAGGATTCTCCGCTCAGCTGGGTGTCCATGGTAACGAGTATCGCTGCTTGTCAGAACAATACTACAATGTGACTGTGTGCGGGGATATCGATCCTCTACTGCCTATGTGGCCGAGAACCCACCGCATATGTGTTGGCGCATGAACTGCGCTTGGAAAAAAAAAAATATATTTTTTACTATCTATGCGTGAACTGTATTTCACTTTCCTAAATACTCTTATATTATTATTATTCTTTTCCATTATACGCTTATTGTTATCGTTATTATATATTTTTTTATTGTTATTATTATATTTTATTATACTCATTAATATTAGATTTAATTTTCAATTAAATTTTTTGATCTTAATTTTATTTAATATTATATTTTGCTATTATTATTATTATTACATTGTAAGTCTCAGAATGAGTGGAATAGTAGTGTTCTTAGAGGGGCACACTGCACCGTTTACCACCATGGTGCCCAAGTGCGGCCGCTGGAGACTTGCAGAATAGCAGCAGTGTGCCAGGTGCTGGAGTGCTCTCTTCTCTCCCTCAGCACCTTTAGGGCTTGTTCACACCAAATGCAGACCAGATCTGCATGAGTTTCTGCTCACGCAGGGCAGTGGGTTGTGCCGTGTTTTTGATGCATTCCAGGCAGTTTTTTTTAGCCTAGAATGGACTTTCAGTGCGTTTGCATGCATGTTTGATGCGTTCCAGAGCAGGAAAAATAGGGCATGGTGCAGTTTTTTTTACATGTTCTGGAACTGAACGCTCCGGCGTGAACCAGAGCCCAAAATACAATTGGATACATTGGACGCAGTTTTGATCCGGTCTGTAACTGTTCTGCTCCTGGAACGCGCTTGGTGAGAACAAGGCGTAAAGCTGTCAGCAGCCGAACTGTCTGGCGAAGTGATCTTCATCCTACAGTAGAAGTATAGTCCCAGCCAACTGTGAGAGAGAATGGGGGGGTTAATGACCAACAATAAGAAGGGGGGTTATTACAGCCTGAGCCTGCAACTGACC